GTTTTATTTTTTCCCATTTTTTGTGTACTTCTGTCCTTTGACATCTTCAATATAAAAATCTTTTGAATCTCTTTAACTTTTTTGCTTTTTGACACTAACATTTTCTGATTCTTACCCCGTCAAAGATAAATCATGACCTATGATGGTTCAGTTCAAATCGACCATTGATTTATTATTTATTCTTTTCCATTAGATCCTTTCTTTGGTTCAGTTAAATCGACACTAAGGTTTCTCTGATTTCTATTCTAGTTAAAGAAACTGCAAAGCCTGGGGTACGACCAAATAATAGTTTAATCTTGTTTACCCAGTATGTCGCTGTGAAGCCTGGAACACAACCAGATAGCAGTCAACCTTATTATCCTCAGCAAGTCACTATGAAGCCTGGATCCTGACCAGATAGCAGTTCACTTTCGTCTCTTCAGTCAAGAGATGACTTCCCAGTAGAGTAATGGAAAATCGAAGCTCCTAGACTCCATTACCATAAAAAAAAAACATTCCCCATTGGACTCCTCCTCGGACAGCAGGAACATGAATCCCCACAAAGAGAATTCTTATGAAGTCAGCATCTATTTTGAATGGCATCTTTAAGCCTATCTCCGACGACTCTACGTCATATTCCTTGGATGGCATCTTTAAGCCCATCTCTGAGAGTCTTCTTTCATCTTTTCCAAATGGAATCTGTAAGCCCATTCCCGATATTATTCACCAACAGTCTCACTTTGGACGAGTGAAAAATTCTGGGCACTCTAGTGTTCAATCATCTTCCACCTTCATATCACGAAAGGCAGACCAGCCAATCTATATCCTCAGGTTTAAGAAGATTGAACAGGGGCAGTTATTGTACCCCAAAAATTGTCCTCTCATTTTTTTTCAAGACCTTTTCTTACATAGTTGGTGACAAACACATGTTTAAAGAAAGTACAAAAATTTGAAGGTATGAGGTGTTTTAAGCTCAGAAGTTCTGACGTTGAAATTCTGGTTGCTCTGATAAAGAAAGTTTTGAGTGTCCCAAACTAGAGTCTAGAATCATCAATGAGAACAACGCTTGAGAGGCTGATTGAAGAAGTTCTGAGCGTCCTAAATTGGTATCCAGAATCATCAATGAGAACAACGCTCGAACAGCTGATTGAATAAGTTCTAGTAAGGAAAACTCTGAACAATTCGAGTCAGAAATCAGAGTCATCAATAAGAACAACGCTTGAATGGCTGATTGAGGAAGTTCTGGTAAGAAAAACTCTGAATAATTCGAGTCAGAAATTAGAGTCATCAATAAGAACAACGCTTGAAAGGTAGATTGAAGAGGTTCTGAGAGGGAAAACTCTGAGCAATTCAAATTCGTGCGAGGCGCCAACCCTCACATGTCCATGTTCATTCAGAATCTCAGAAAGGCATGAAAATTCTCAAAGTGGAAATATTTTAATGTGTCTGATTCTGTTTTCAAAGCTGTGTTTAATGGTCGATCTTTAAAGCCATGTTTCTTTCCCCATTTTCTTGTCCCCTCCACCACCTATAAATACAAGACGTCAAACACAAATCAAAGGTAAAAAGAAGAAGAAAAAATGGGGCTAGAGAGAAAAGAAAAAAAGAGAGAATACACGTCCACGCTGCCACAGAAAAAAGCACACCACAATGCTCAAAAAATTCAAAAGTGCCCCCAATTGAAGCACGCTTTGCATGCGCTTTCAGGTCCAAACAGGTGTCCACATTCTGATTCTGAAATCTCCAGGAATAGCATCGACACCATAAATCCAAGTATTGATCATATGTATATTCTCTAATTTCATCTTCTGAAGGTAGTATTTTGTTTTGTCCTAGCATGTTTGCGCAGGCTCTTATTATAGACTAGACAGGCCACAAATTCCATGATGATTCTGAGCCCATCAGAGCATAAAACCAGAAGGTTGGCTCTAATGGGATGACTCCATCAACCCCTGCATGGCATCCTTTTAGAAGATTCTGACATTAGCGCGTGCAACTTTTGATGATCTGGAATCACATATATTTTATCTGTTCATTCGTAATAACAATTGATAAACAGGTCCAGCTAGTGAAGGGAAGCGCGTATAATGAAAGGATTTGGGTTCAGTGCCCAGATCTTGCATTTTTTCTTCTTTTTCTATTCAGTTTATTGCAGATCCAGACGTTCATCATCAAATCTTCATCATCAGATCATCATCATCAGATTATCACCATTAGAGCATCACAGAGTCAGATCAAGTGCTCTAGATTTGGATGCTGATGATGGGCCCCCCCAAGGACTAACTGCATTAAGTCTCGTGTTGATTCTGGGTTCGCCAACTTCTGGGCTTAGCATTTTTCCAGACCATGCTATCCATGTTCTGATGACTTTTACTTATCTTATTTTCTTTACTTCTTTTTTAATCTTTTTACATAAAAAAATAAAGGGTCAGATCATAAAAAAAATCACAAAAATTTAGGATTAGATTTTTATTAAATAGTTAATTTTTTGAATTAATTAATAACTATTTTAACCATTTTTTTCTTTAATTAAAATTGAATTAGAACTTAGGATTTAATTTGGATTTAATCTTTTTCTTTTCATAATAAAAACTAAAAAATAAAAAAAAGAACTTAGATTATTCCTTAATTAATTTTTATCTATTTTAAAATAGACTTTAGGATGTTCATTTTAAGTATTTTCCTAAATAAAAATAAAATTAAAAAAAGGACTTTCATTCTTGGGATTTTTTTAGACGTAATATTTATTTCGCGCGCATTAGTTTCATTCTCGCATTTTATATAATAATGTAACTGATTATGGGATGTAATAGTCTAGATTTAAAATTCCGCACTTTATTTTCTTGCACCTTTTTTATGTAACTGTCCAGAAGTCCTGTAATAGCTGTAGGACTTTATTTCTCGCTTTTACATTCTTGCATGCTTGTATATAATTTCTAGTAAGTAGGTATGCATGACAAGATTAATCAATTAACCATTAGATCACTAATCTCAAGACAAATATCTGAAAAAAGCACTATTGCACACTTGCACCCTTAGGGTACTCCTCACTTGGTTGCCTCAGAAAATAATGGTCATGTTCCTCGAACGTAGGGATATCTTAGCAAAGACCCTCGGTACTAAAGTCATATAAAAGATCATGGTCCCTAACGTCCCTCGAGTTTCCTACGAGAAATGATCTTGTCCCTCGATGTTTCCTATATGATGGCAGTCCCTTCGAACGCTAAGATATTCTTACATGTTGCCTTAAATGACCATAGCATCCCTTTTGATAGTCCCTCAACATCCAACGATAAGGCTACCTACTCACTAATAATGGGATAGCACTATCTAAAGGAAAGGAGGAAAAGAACATCCTTTTTCGAGTAGGTAGATGACTTTTAAGCACTTGCTCAAACCTAAGTTTTCACACTTACACACCTTTCAAAAACTATTTTCAAAAAACGCTTTATCACACTCTTGAGGACTGATACAAGAGTTATCATAAAGTAAACAAAAAAAAACATTCAAAGCGCCACAAACACAAACAGTTTTCAAAATGAGCAAGTACCTAAGAGCCCGTGGAAAACCACGGATGGAAAGGGTGCTAATACCTTCCCTTTCCATAATCTACCCCCTTACTCAGAAAATCTCGAAAAATATATTTTTCTGTTCTTTTCACCCTTTCCTTTGTTGGATAAAAGAAAAGTTGGTGGCGACTCTTGCTTACCGCGACATTTGCGAACAAAAAACACAAAACCAGTATATAACAGTCGGTTCTGCCACCGTATCACACCATTATATACTAGATCAATGAACTAGACTTTTGATGTCAAATGTTAAAACAAGAAACACAATATCACCATTGAGTAATGGAGAGATAGAAAAAGAATATGGTGTAAGAGATTGAGTCTTATTTGATTAAACCCTTTAAAGTGGTATATATACAATATTGCACACAAAACTCAACTAACCAACTAACAGAAAATCAAAATGTCGCACTCATAGTCAAACACAGACATCATTAAGGCTGGACAAATAAATACCAACCGACCCAATCCGTTTGGCCCATGCTATCCGAATGGGTTCGGTCGGGTCAAATTCGGGTCTTTGGGTCCATCAAATGGTTCAAGCGGATTCATTTTTTTACAGATTTTGATTCAAGGCCTAATCATAAAAGAGATCAAAGAAGAGGGTTAAAAATAAAAGGTAACTATTTTGGTTTGTAAAAACTATTGTTATGCTTACGTTTTGGATATGCTTTAAAAAAGACTTGGATCTGCTTTAAAATAAAAGATAACTATTTTTTTCCAGTTACTCAAGAGTTTGATTGTTCAATATTGTTCAAGATGATTTATGAATCTAAATATTTTGTGGATCGTATATTTGTTGTGTTAAGATATGCTTTCTATTTTTGAACTTTACGTTTATTCATCTTAAGTTTCACTGAATTTTATGTTTTGGTTTGTGACAAATCTGAGAAATTTGTCGTGACATCTTCTGGTTTTCAACCTGATACGAAGATTCTACATAATGTTTTGTTTGAGTTCTTTGAAACTCAAATATTTGCTTTTCAATTTTTGTCAAGTTTAAAAGTGGATTTTTATTTATACTAAGGGTTGAAGTTTTTTTTTTGTTGATGTTGTGCAGGTATTTTGAACCTGAATCCGAACCAACTTGAATCGACGTCCACCCCAAAACATCATGTATTCGATACCACAACATGGTATTCAGCTACCTCTACCCTGTATCCCAATATCATAAATCTTGAATTACAAGTTTCACAACAATAACAACTATTTAAAAGCTTAATTTGCTTCACAATTTTTTTAATGAGAATCCAAAATCTCAATGAGTGATAAAATATAGCTAACATAAGTCACCAAAATAGAGAGTCTAGTAGTTTTTAAGCATTTCATTGTATTACTATTGAATTTTATACATTAAACATCATCGAGGTAAAATATTCACTCGTCAACTAATCCATACTAAAACTTTTGGATTGCCGCAAAGTTTAGAAAAAGAATTGCCATTAATTAGTTTTATTGAGAAATTATGTTCAAGAGAGAAGATCTAGTTTTAATCAAGCGTCTAAATAAGTTCTCCAAACCAATCTCAATGCTTTCAACTGCATTCTCCAAAGCCTCTAATCCTCCATGTGCAGCCTGCAACTTTTCACAATTATTGGCTTCACTTATAAGGGTGCTTAAAGCATCTTCTACACACTGCAACTCATTGACATTCTCTGAGTTGTCTTCAGATGTTATAACACCCTTATGAATCAACTTTGCTACCAAGAACCATTTTGTAGCCTTTGACTTTGACGAAGACACAGTCAGAAATGACAAAATGAATTGAAAAACAGACAAATTAATTGTAATAACTTCCCTAAGAACTCTAATAACAGAAGAAAGGTGATGATCAAGTTCTAAATTTGGGGACTGCCCAAGTTTCGTATCCATATGCTTCAAAGATGTGATCAACTTGTTGACATTTTTCTTCATCTTTTTTGTGAAGAATTTGTATTCTGCCACACTTGTTTCAACACTTGCATCTCCTTTTCTTCTCCTAAGAGAAGAATGAAGAGTTTGAACATTTTCCTTGATTTGCAACATGGTGTCCCTTGTGATGCCACATACATCCAAAATTCTCATAGAGCCGTCTAGCACCTCTTCAATGAATTTCTCACCTCTATGATGAGAAATGAGTTGTTGGGTTGATGGCATGTTGAGAAGATGTTCCAATGAAATATACAAATCTTCGAGTAAGGAGAGACCGATATGAATAGAGGCTGATGTTGATGTAGATGTTACTTCCCAAGCTTTGAGCTTGTTCAAATCCTCAGTTACTCTAATGGTGCTAGGATGAGATCGAGAAGGCAAACTAATTGAACGAACATGGTACTTGTTTGCCATATTATTAAATCTTTTATTTTTTGAAACAAAATGAAACTCAACTTTGGGATGGTGTTAACAAGTCCTTGATTCTTTCTTTATATAGAGGTTTGTTCCCGTTCATTCCTAGAGGTTTAGATTCAAAAAGGAAGCACACGTCAGTGATCACCGTGTGGGGCATGTGATAATGGCATGGGGCAACCTTCGATTTCGGTTGAATTGTCGCATCAGTGCCTAACATTGAGCGGTATTAAATAGACGAAATCATTTATTGATTTTGGTTTTGAATAAAGGATAATGCTAATATCGGTCCTAAAAGCATATGGTAAGAAATATGTTACAAACGGTAAATTATTTCAATTAAAAATTAATAATTAATATTACTATAAAAAAAAGTCTTTTAGTTAGGGGGTTAACTCTTCACTAAGTCAAAAAATACTTCACAAAATCAATATTTATGAGGGGTTATGTCTCCTAACTAAATTACTGATCGCTGATAAGTGGTGAGGAGCTAAGCACCTAACCAATTAGCTTGGGGTTAAATCCCTCGTTAAAGAAAAAAATTGATTGTACATTGGTTAGGGGTTTTATCTCTAGCTAAATGTCATGTTATTTTTGACGCGGGCATTCAGAAAGTGCAGGGTGGCACAGAGAGTATGTAGGAAGCGTGGAGGAGAGTGTGCAAACACCATTTACTAGAGAGTTTACTTCAAGCTAAAAACCAAAATTTATTTTTTAAATTATAAACGTAAATATTTAGTTTTCTTATTATTATTATTATATTTATAATTAATAAATTTCATAATTAATAATATTAATAATAATATAAAGTTTAATATTATATTTGATATTTTTTTATAAATATATATTTTTATATAAACTAAATAAATTAAATATACTTTTTATATAAACTGTTTTTATAATATATAATATATAAACTATTTAATATAATTAAATATATAAACTATTTTAAGATAATGAAATATATAATATATAATATATTTTCAGAATAAAAATATATATAATATATAAATTGTTTTAGTATACTATTTAATATATATATATATATATATATATATATATATATATATATATATATATATATATATATATATATATATATATATATATATATATATATATATATATATATATATATATATATATATATATATATATATATATATATATATATATATATATATATATATATATATATATATATATATATATATATATATATATATATATATATATATATATATATATATATATATATATATATATATATATATATTAAATCTAACATACTTAATTATATCAACTAAACCTAATACATACCTAAATTTACCTAAATCTAATTTAAAGTTTAGAAAAAATTTCAATAAAAATAAATAAATTACATACCGTTTAAAGAAGTTTTATTAAACAAAACTAGTATTGATGGAGAAAAATATAATAAATACCTACGAATTTAATCCAACAAAAATCAGAATTTATAAATTAACATAACAACATATATCTTAAATAACATATAGAAATAACTTTATTACCTTTGAAATAAATAAAAAAATAAAGCTTCCAAATGGAGTAAAATAGTAGTGTTAATGGAGGAAAAAATGAAGAAGAATTTGAAAATGGAAGAGTTGCAGCTCTGAAAATGAATGGAAATGAAGAGAAGGAAAGAGAAACGAATATAAGCTACAAACGCAAGACAAACGACACTGAATGCTTGGAAACATAAGTTGTTATATGGCTTGGGGCTAACTCCTCACTAGCTACCAAAAAGTTGTAGCCACTCTGCAACGTGCAGGTCGGTTCAAAGCAGAAGATGTGATGTGACAGTGGGCTTGGGGGTAACCTCTCGCAAAAATCCAACTTAGCTGGCGAGGTGATCACTCCCTCACTAATGATTTTTCTTTTGTAGGGTGAGGTGATCCCCCCCTCACTAATGATTTTTCTTTTTTCTCAAGTGCAACCCCCTCGTAAACGTCCAACGGATTTATTTCAAATTTCCTCCTAAAATTTAGCTAGGGGGGAGCTCCTAGCCATACCAAATTTTAAAAAATATATTTTTATGTTATTTACACAGGAGGTTATCTCAAACTAAAGGTAAATTTAACCATTTACCCCAAGTTAATTCAGCTTTTTCTTATAGTGTATTTTCATTATCTTTTTCAACACAAACTTTTTATTTTTAAGTTTTTTAACATGTATCTTTAGAGCATATGTTAGTATTACCCTGAATAAATACAAGAATCAGTTTGTAAAATATGAGATGTTATTTACTATACATAAATACATAAATGTGAGATGTTATTTGCGCGGATGTAAATTAGTTATTTTAGAGTGAAGACATATTTTGTCCTCTCACAAAAATTATAAATTATAAATTAATTTTTACAAAAAAAATATATAATTTAATCTTTTACAAAATTTTATCGAATTATATTAGTTCTTTTATTAATATTTTTTAAATCGGTTTTTTCTATTTTTAAACTGTGACTGGACAACTTGGATTTTATTTTTATTTTCTATTTTTTAAATATTAAATTTATTTTTAAACAATTTAAATTTTAAAAAATAATAATAAATAATTAAAATTGATTCTTAAAAAGAATTTTACCCAAGACCTTTAGTAACATTAGATGTCTTTACCATTAGGTCAATGTACATTGACAATAGATAATTTTCATAATTGGTGGTAATATTAAAACTATGACCTTTTAACTTACATTTTTATTTACAAAGTTTAATAATAATAATAATTATATATATATATATATATATATATATATATATATATATATATATATATATATATATATATATATATATATATATATATATATATATATATATATATATATATATATATATATATATATATATATATATATATATATATATATATATATATATATATATATATATATATATATATATATATATATATATGATGATTTGTCATGTTTAACAAGTAATTAGTTATTTTAAAAATTAACACATCGTTAGTTTTAGTAAAACTGTTTAAATGTAAAATAGAGAGACGAAAATTATTTAAATTTATAATAAAGGGACCAATTTCATTAATCAAATAAAATAGAAGGGTCAAAAATATAATTTAATCTATTTGAAATAAGTAAATATTTATTTGTGTGTTAATTGAAATCTGTAAATAAATAACTGCTTATTCTGAATTAATAATATAAGTATTCATCATTAAAAAGTTTAAGTGAAAAATTTTATGTATAACTTTCACATCATATTTGACAAGAGTTTCTAAGCTATCTAACTTATATTCATTTAAATTGATCATTAGAAGAGAAGATCATTCTTTGTATAGATTTTATACTAGTGCAACAACTTTGTACAAATCTATTATTCGAATTTTGTTCTGTTCATTAAGTGTAAGTGATCATTGTATTCAAGTTAAAGTGGTGTGTTTTCTCTTGTGTGTTGTAAAATCAAAAAGTGGTAAACATTTATGATTGTGTAGATAGTTAAGAGAGTCAAGTGGATCAAGTGTAATTTATCTGACATAGTGAAATCTCCCATATGGCGTGAGTGGACTGGAGTACCATTGTTGGGAAAGGGGAACCAATATATATCTTAGTGTTCTATATTTTTCTGAATTTATTTTCAGCGTTGTAATATTCATAACCATTCTGGAAAAATAATAGCAACATTACTTACATTCATAATCAAGAAAAATTCACTAATACCGATTAATCTAATTCATTCACTCCCTCTTAAATTACTTTTCATACTTACAGTAAAGTGACTACCAGTTGATTTGAGAGGACTTTTATGACCTTGTGGGTATAAATTTTATATTTTTTGTTTTAAATTCGAAATTGTTTAATATTACTATAAATCTATTTAGTATTTAAAAAATGAAAAATAAAAAATGAAATTAAACTTGACGGTCCAATCATTGTTTAACAGTATAAAAAAATCGGTTTGAGACAAATATTAATAGAGGGGCTAATATAGCCCGTTTAAATTTTCTAAGAGATTAAATCAGGTCTTTTTTGTGGAAGATTAATTTGGATTCTGTGGTTTTTGTGAGGGACCAAATTAAGTTTTCGCTTTTAATTTTAATTAGTTTTATGTAGACGTTTCGTTCTCATTTTTCAGCGCGGTGGTCCCTCTTTACAGATTCTTATCTAGCTATTGGAATAGGGTTTTTCTGATCCTTCTCCCTCTCTTCTCTTCTATGTTGAAGTTATATTGGTTTCTCTATGTTCTTTCATGGAACCTTTCCATATTCCACGGTCTTGCTTAGCATCGAAACCAGCAACAAATGAAATGTCTTTTCAAGTCGAACCTAAGAAAAGCTTTGCTCAAGCGCTTAAAAGTGTTTATGAAATCCCTTGTTCCCAACTGCCTCAGCCAGTTTTGAAGGGTGACAGATTGTCTATTACTATCCCAGAGGAAGAATGTATGGCAAGGTTGGAAGAATGTAAGTATAATCTTCATGGTAGGATTTTGTGGCCTAAAGGTTCGAAGCCTCTTTCAAACTTTGACATCCGTAATAAACTCAATAGTCTTTGGAAAGATTTAGGAAATTGGTGAATTATTTCACTAGGTAAATGATTCTTTGAACTTTTTTTCATTTGTCGAAGATGTTCGAAGAGTCAGAGCTTCAGGATCCTGGAACCTCTCATCAGGACTTCTAAAGTTGTTTCCTTGGTCTAAGGTTTTGTCCCCGAAATTCAAAAATCCAACACGACTCAAGTCAGGGTTCATTTATATAGGTTGGCATAGGAGTATTGGCAGCCAAAGATACTTTTTGCTATTGTGAGTAGTATTGGTTGCCCAATATGCTCTGACATTACCTTTACAAAGCCTTTAATTGATAAAACTTTTGGACATTATGTAAGGGTGTTGGTGGACATGGATGTATCTTGCAAAATAAGGTATAAAGTTCTTGTTGAGAGATAAGGATTTTAATTCTTCATTGATTTGGAATACGAAAATCTGTTAGACTTCTATTCAGTTTGCAAAAGAGTTGGTCA